AGGGACAAAAGTTCACTTTGCTCAGTAGAGCCACAGAATTGTTCTGGTTGGAAAAGACCTTTCAGGTCAAGTCTAACCACTAACCCAGCATTGCCAGGGCACCAGTGCCCCATGTCCCTCAGCACCACATCTGTGTGGCTTTGAAATTCCTCCTGGGATGATGATTCCCACCCCTACCCTGGGCATCTTATGCCAGGTCCTCACAACCCTTCTGGGGAAGAAATTTTTCCCAATATCTAATCTGAACCTCCCCTGGCACAACTTTGGGCCATTTCCTCTTTTCCTGTTGCTTCTAATCTTGTTGTTCTGTTACTGGGTAACACAATGCCTTTGTTGTGATAATACTATGCTTTTGCATTTTTATTAACTTGTCACAACAGAAATAACTTTGATTGCAGCAGCCTCTCTCCCTAGCTTTCTGGTGTTTTTCTGTATGTAACTGGTCAAGTGGCACTGCTAAACTTACTGGGTTTCTGTGGTGTTCAATTACAAGTTGAAAGTCAAGCTTTGTAGCAGCTTGCAAAGCAACAGCCAGGAGCTTTGCCTTTCTGTCCTCAGTGAGCTATTCTATAAATGCTGCTATAAATACACCTACTTGCTGTTTTTCCTGGCAGCCACCCACAGACAGTAAGTCTCCCTTTAGAGGCATTAGTAAATGCCATTTTCTTCCTCAGCTTTCCCTTCCACCTAGGATCAGCTAGAAAGATGTGGGGTTTTAGGCTATTGTGTGAAGTAAAAGCAAGGCTGAAAGGGTTAGGAATGGCCTTGAAAACTGTAAAGGTTCAGGGGCTCGTTTTTAAGTACTTCCATTTTCCATTTTGTGAGACTAATACTGGTTTGTGGTGTGTATTTGACTCCTGATCTGTGGTCTCTGATGGGAGAGTTCTTCATCCTTCAATCTCCTGCAGCTGATAAAGGCGCTTCAGTGGCAGGTGGGATTGAGGCTGTGAGGATCTTAAAGCTGAGGAGAGCACTTCTGGAGCAGGTGTTCACATCACTGAACATAGGCAGATGGCAAGGGCTAGTGTTGAAAGCATAGTGGTTTTTTTCCCCCCTCCTGGAGGTGTTTGTTGTGCCCTTGTCAGCTCATGGGTGGCCTGAGGTGGATTTTGTGCTCTGGAGAAAGCACAAAATTCTGTCAGTGTGTGTTTGTGCTGTTGCTTGGTCTAGTTCTTGATTCTTTGGCGGTGGCTCAGTGTGAGAGCATTGGGTGGGTCTGCATTCCCCTGATCTGCCTGGTGCAGCAGAGCTCTTGGGAACTACATCTGAGTGCAAGAATTCCACCTGGGAGTTGTCTTCCCTGGCTGCTGTTTGTTCCCTGCACAGCTCCAGCACTGGCCACAGAGCTCTGGTGACAGCCCTGGCTGTGCCGGGTGGCCCGGGCAGGAGGCAGCAGCTCTGAGTTGGTGACCAGGCAGAGTTAAACACAGTGGGTTTGGCTCAGAGCAGCTGTAACCCCTCCCAGATACCCGGTGGGGTCATGGCCCTTGGCCACGTGAGGTGACTTTCCATCCCCACTCCCAGTCTGAGGGTTGTCCTTCAATAATGCAGTTTAATACCAGAGCACCAGGGGGAACCAAGGGCCACGTCCAGTCCCCGTGTCCCACATGGTCCCATGAAGTGAAACACGAAGCCACCACGGTTCCTGACTGGGATGGTTCAGCTGGAAGAAAACCAGACTGATGGACAGAACCAGTTCAAAAACTGGCAGGGAACAAATGGAAAGGTGCAGGCACCTGCTGAGGGTGAGGGCTGGGCTGGGCTGCCCCTCTGCTGGAGCTGTTTTGGGGGGTTTATCTTGAGCCAGACAAGGAGGCAGGAGACTGCTGATGGTCACTGTAATATTTCAAAATAATTTTACTTTCAATTTTATTTATATCTTAAAAATAAACATCAGTATTAAAATATCAGTAAACAAACCTGTGAGACTGAAGCAGTGAGTACAGAATACATACAAGTAGTGTACTAGAGAGTGGCTGTGAGCATTTATATGAACTTCAGTGCAAAGCTGAAACAGACCCACTGCAAGGACAGCAGCATGTTGTCCAGAAGTTTCCTGGGAAGCATTTCCCAGTTTCCAGTATGGCTCAGCCCAGGCCTGTGTGGGGTGAGAGAGATGGTGGAGGCTGGGCCAAGGAGCAGAAACAGGGGCTGTGACACGGTGCTTTTGTGAATGGTTTGGAGAGCAGAGCCAGCTTCACATGCAAAAGCCTTTTTATTTTTCCTCCTGGTCCTCGGTCCTTACCTGGTCTGTTCCCACCCTGCCTGGTGCACTCACACTTGCAGACACACACACCTCTGACATACGCATCCATCTCTGTGGGCTCTAGGAGAGCTCCCTCTGAGCTCTTCCTGCCAACCTTTGCTTTTTCCTGGAGCTCTCCTCAGCTGTTCTCCTCCCTCTGGTGAGATAAGGGTGCACATAGGGGCTTGGCTGTTGGCTCTGGCTGCTTTCACAGTCAGTGGCTACAAGACTGTTTAAAATGCTGAGGAATTAATTGCTGTCTCCCTTGGGAGAAGGTCCCCACGTGGGTAGTGCTGGGGCAGTCTCAGTCCCTGGATGTTTGTGGCTCTGCTTGGCTGCAGCTCCCAGTGCCTGGGAGTTTTGCTCCCATCGAGAAAAAGTGAATTCATGTTGATCTCCAGCCTTCCAGTAAGCACTGGATTTAATTTTTTTTTTTTCTCTGTGTGCACGTGCACACATGGCAGATTTCAGCCAGGAAAGGAAATGCCAGAAAAGGGTGAGTATTTCAGCCTGGAAGTGCTCCCAGCCCGAGGCAGCGTTAACCCGCTGGTTTGTGTCCCCGCCCCTGCCGAGCACCGTGTCCCTGCCAGCACCACGCAGGGCCAGGAGCTGACACCTGCCCTGCTCCCTTCCTGGGGCTGCAGGAGCTGGTGAAAAAGGCTGACACTAGAGCTATTTCTGCAGGGTTTGTTTTCTGCTGGTGTGTTTCTGTGACTTGCAGGTGGCTCCGAAGCAGCACAGCCCCAGTAGCCGTGGGAGGGAGCAGGGGAACGGGTCTGGCTTCTCCCGGCTGCATTTCCCACCTTGTGGTCGCTTGATCCTTGGCTCCTCTGTCACTTGGAGTTGAGGGGGCCACATGTGGCCGCTTCCAGCAGTGGTGATGAGCAAGTGAGGCCCAGGGAAGGTGCCTTCTCTATTGACAGGAGAATTAAAGCATCTGCAGCCTCAGAGTGGTTCAGCACACAGAAGAGTGGCAGGAGAGGGGACATAAATTGCAGCCTAGCACTGATGGTAGCCAGTTGGCGCCCGAGGCAGCGTTAACCCGCTGGTTTGTGTCCCCGCCCCTGCCGAGCACCGTGTCCCTGCCAGCACCACGCAGGGCCAGGAGCTGACACCTGCCCTGCTCCCTTCCTGGGGCTGCAGGAGCTGGTGAAAAAGGCTGACACTAGAGCTATTTCTGCAGGGTTTGTTTTCTGCTGGTGTGTTTCTGTGACTTGCAGGTGGCTCCGAAGCAGCACAGCCCCAGTAGCCGTGGGAGGGAGCAGGGGAACGGGTCTGGCTTCTCCCGGCTGCATTTCCCACCTTGTGGTCGCTTGATCCTTGGCTCCTCTGTCACTTGGAGTTGAGGGGGCCACATGTGGCCGCTTCCAGCAGTGGTGATGAGCAAGTGAGGCCCAGGGAAGGTGCCTTCTCTATTGACAGGAGAATTAAAGCATCTGCAGCCTCAGAGTGGTTCAGCACACAGAAGAGTGGCAGGAGAGGGGACATAAATTGCAGCCTAGCACTGATGGTAGCCAGTTGGCACATGGCTGGCCACTGGTTAGATCCCATGGTCGCTCTAATTTGGTTTCTTTGGGCTCCCAGGGCTCTTTGTTGATGGTGATGTCCCCTGCTGCAGAGAGAGAGCAGAGCAATGAAATGTCACCAGAGAGCCCTCCAGTGACTTGGTCAGGGCCAGCCAGGCTGGTTCCCTGCTGCTGAGGATGCACCCAGCATGTGGCCCTTAGGACACTCTGCCTTCACCCCGGCAGCCCCTTCCTGGAGGTCATCATCTGTGTCACAGACCTGTCCCCTCCCATGGAGCCACCTGCCCACCATGCAGCTGAGCCAGTGGTGTGGTGCCACCTCCATGGCCCTCGTGTGGGACAGGGCAGATGGCAGGAGCCCCAGTGAGGACAGTGGTACTCACGGGCAGCTGTGCCTTCGTGCCGTTGAGGTGGGCGTAGAGGAGCACGGCGATGTTGCTGTGTCCAGCCTCCAGCGCAATGGCGACAGCGTTGTTGCCATCCTAAAAAGGAAGGGAGAGCACTTGGGAAGGGGTTTGGGAACACGGGTGGGCGAGTGGGCCTGGGCAGCAGAGGCTTACACTGTCCACGATGGAGACGTCACAGGCGGGCTGAGCCAGCAGCAGCTTCACGGTCTCGGCGCGGCCGTGCTCGCACGCGCACATGAGGGCAGTGGAGCCCTCCTCGTCCTGCAGGTTGACATCGGCCCCGCAGGCCAGCAGAGCTGCCACCATCTCCTGCCGGCCGTGGCTGACAGCCAGCCTCAGGGGCGGCTTGCCA